TATAATATACACATATATATTAAAATGTATATATATATATATATATACATTAATATATATACGTACACACGGATACATCGAAAACTTAAAATTATTCAGCAGTCGTTTTATTCTACTCGCACGAGCATCAGTCATTCGCATAGCACGCGCGTGCGATCGTTTACGACAAAATCGGTGGTAGACTCGATAGGCATTCGTGACGAATACCGAATTTCCGTGTTGACCTCTATCTGACATGCCTTCCTTCTTTAACTTCACATTCATATTGTCTTGTTCGCATAGCATGTTCCTCGATTTTAACCTTTTCTTCTTTTTTCTTCGTTATCTTTCTCTCTTTCTCTTTTCTGTTTCTCTTTTGCTCTCTTTTGTGCCAGATGAAGTATAAGAAGAAGAAGAAGATATGCTTCTCGTATRGAAACAAGCTGTCTCGATATATCGTACTCGTAAAAATAATGTTCACTCCCTCTTCTCATCCCTTCCTTTTCACCCTCTATATTTTTTCATCATTATTATCTCTCTCTCTCTCTTTCTCTCTTTTCCTCTCCTTAAACTTCGTTTCTTTCTCGTTTTATTCAACTTTTGCATAATGCAGGCACGCATACACGCCTTTGATTGTACAAGTGGTATATATGATGTCAATGACAAGTTTGTTGATGTCGTTGCAATCCGTTTGAAAATATGAACACCTTTTTGTTTAAATATAATATTTTTATGCGAAAATAAAAAGTTGCAAAATGAGGAAGAAAAAAAGGAGAAGAAGAAGAAAATAGTAATAATAAAAAAGAAAATAAAACAATTATATAGGGTAATAAACAATCGAGCAGTCTGGACAGATATTAGCCTAGTCTCTGTAGCAATTGCGTTTACGTCACAGGCTTGATATGAGAAAAAAATACTATTCGCGAGACGTCGACCTCTTTCGACTACATTTTTCACATTTTTTTCTATGCATATACGTAAGACCGATTTTTAATTAATTTTGCCTTTTTTTTTTTTTTTGGTTTTGTTTAAAGAGATATTCGTTCTACCTCTGATCCATTTTTTATAAAAAGGAATGAAACTATTGGCTTCCACAAAAATGTTGAATTTAAATGCCTTTAATAAATAGATGAAACAATAGTCTAGGCATTTATTTTCTTTTCAAATAAGTAATTCGTATAATTTGTTGATTTAATGGTATTTGAAATCACATAAGGCTATTTAAAAATAACAGAGATGGGAAGAACAAAATATTGGAAAAGTTATTGTATAAAATAATCCCATTTTGCGTACGAATATTATCTTAAGTGCAACAATTAATAAATATTTATTTAAACAAGATATATTAAGATCGAACGAATTCTTGAATTAAAAATATTTACAAAGACGAATGTTTAAAATGGTGATACTGTTTCAATTAATGTTTTGGATACTTCTCTTGAATTATTTGAGAGAATGAATGCATGATTTGCAAGAGAAAGGGAAAATTACGAATTTTTTTAAAAAGAGTGTTCGGTAAGAAAGAAAGAAAGTGATTTCCTAATATTCGTAGATAAATTGTTCAGAAATATGTAAACAAATGTACGCGTGCTTGGTTCTATGCATAAAGAAACCGCATTTCACATAACTAAAGAAAGATATTTCAATAATAGGTGGCAGACAATAGGTAACCCTTGGGTTGTTTCGTCTAAGAGCCTAGTTGCTGTGTTTATTTATTGTCCGTTCGACAGATTCCAGAAGCTATGGGCTCGGTTAAAGATCCCAAAACACGAACAATAGGCACAATGTGCTTTTGATCCTATTGCATGTCCTAAAGAAAAGTTCAACGCATTATTAGATTCAAATGCTTAGTATAGTAATATAATAAATCCCTAGTAAAGGATAGTATTACGTAGCACAAGGGACTAGCACAGGTGTGCTTCAACAATGACGATACATCCTAACAAACGTTTCTATTTTGTTGAGACTTAATTTAAATTGATTCATTTAATCTGTTATTTTGTGTCATCAATCGAAATGTCTCATTTAAGAAATCGAATAAAAAAAATATTATGAAGCTGAAGAAATAGTTCATTAATTTTTTATTAGCACCTATTTTTATAAATTTGATTCGATCTTTGTTGCGTTTGATTTTCTGTGTTTCTCTCGTCAGACTTGTAAAGAAAGATGAATCTCTTGTTGATTTGTTTTCAGATCGATATAGTCAAAGAAAGAAAAAAAGAAAGAAAGGAGGAGAAAAACGTTTCTCTGTGTATTGGTAGTGTCCTATTTGGAGATCCGCTTTCCTCGTTTTTCTATCGTTATTAGATTACGAACATTCGATGATTTTTTTTAGCTTCTCCCATGCTCCTATAAGTTTCTAATCGTTATAACGGTATAACGGGGATTCAACATATTACATAGTCTTAACTGCTCGTTCTTACTTCGAAGTATTCTTATCTCATCGTTAGCCTTTCTATAGGAAATTAGCAATTTACGTTTATGAAAGCTGGCAATCGTGTAAATTTATTTTTCGTGGTTCAACGACGAGCGAGCAAAGAAATGAACCTATATAATGAGCTTTTTTTGTTGCTATTAATGTAATTATAGGATAGAGAAACGAATGTAGTTAGTTAAATTAAAACTTATGACACATATGTATATTATGTTATAGATAGTAGTGATATATTGCTATTCATTTTGACTTTTCTTATATACATCTGTATAAAATGAAAATGATATATTTTTTATTTGTTCATTTAGTATTCGGCCTTGCCCTGTGTTTACAATTCGAAACATCTTCGCGTTCTGCTCCGATCTTGGTGGAAAGATGTACACGTTTTCTCGAAGAAAGAGCATATGCGGATACGACTCTAGATCTCTACAAAGTTTATTGCAGTAAACCTAACGAGCAAACCCTTGAGTTACGACAAAACTTGGACGAAGGTAAGACGTTGAATGAATCACTCATGAATTTAAATGAGTCACTCATTTTCTAAATCGATTAACATTACAAAACAAAAAGTAGAGAGAATTGATTATATAATCCACATTGTTGTGTCGTTTATTATTGAATAGTTATAAAACTAATGTTCATTAAGCGGCGTTAAATTTAAGTTGTAAATAAATTTATTTTCAATGTGAAAAATGAAGTATCGATCAAATAGTTTAATAAAATTTGAAAAAATGAAAGTTTTTTCAAAACAAATTTGAAAAAATTGTACTGAAAGTACAATAGTAGCTTTCACCTATGAACTATTTAAATATCATTTTGTTGAATTATTAAAACACTTGAAATTTAAATTTTAAATCAATTGTTCCATGCAGACGTGCGCAACGCAGATTTGGATCAATATACCCCTCAATGCATCGCAAGCGTTTTGAAAATGTTCCTGCAAGAATTACCAGATCCAGTAATACCGGTACAATTTTATGACAGGTTCCTAGAAGCATCAAGTAAATATTTTTTAAATGTTGGTTTTTAAGTATATGATTTATGGAATGATATTAACAAGGCAATCATTTACGTTTATTCAGATATGAGAAGTGACGAGCAGTGTGCTGCCCGCTTAGGACAACTTGTTACTGAACTTCCGGAACATCATCGGAGTACGTTGTTTCACTTGATGTCTCACTTTTGTCGTATATGTCAGTTGCAACATGGGAGGGGTTACACGGAACCACCCACTGTACTTGTCCAAGTGTTTCGTCATATATTTATTAGGCCGCCCTGGGAACGAATCATGTGAGTATACGTGTGTACAATATCCTAATTATTAGTAATTCATATTAATTTTTTCTCACTATCTTTTTTATATTTACACATAATATCTACTTATACATTTTACATTTATATTCTAGACAAATTATACACAATACAAAAGCTTACATAAGGATAATGGAACTACTGTTGCTGCACGTTGATTGGAACGAAAGATTGCCCGAATTTGCTAGTGCTCCACAGCTTCCACCACGAAAATTTTCGAGACCTCAGTTTCCTGTTCTAGATTCATTTCCTGTTCTTGAAGAAGATAATACGACTGAAAAATCGGGTTCTGCTGGAGACAGTGGCAAGGATCAACAGTCTCATAGGTAAAAGCTTTTATTTCTTGTAATGGAATCATCAAAATTACGATATAAATAAATATATTTAAAGATATTATTTAATATATTAAATATATATAGATAAATATTTTATTTTTTATCCTTTATTTTATATTCTATAATTAAATATATAAATATTTAATATATGTTTAATAATAGGATAGACATAAAGATAAAAATATTTTAAAAAGATGTAGCGAAACATGACCTTTAGGTTAAGAGATTTATGTATTTCAAGATAACATAAATAAGAGAAAAGCTTAGAAAGTTGAGAAAAAACCTATGGGATTAGGTTTCTATCTAATCTGTAGAACCGATCACTTTACTTAGGTTACAAAATCTGAAAATACTACATTTTGTTCTATGTTTAACTGCTGTATAGACGTACGAACGTTTACGGGTTAGTAGTTTGAATCTATAAATAGTTCATTAACGAGTAGTTCACTACAAGAGTAATGAATAGACAAATATTCAAAACCTGTTAAGGTTTTTGTAGTGAGTAGTAGGCGAACAAAAAGTGTATATTATAGAATCACGCAGTGAGTAGACGAATAATACAAAAGTGTCTTCAATAGTCATTGTACCAAGTTATTTTATTTTATATATACATGGGATCAAACGTCACTTCAATTTCAAATAAAATAGTCATTCGTGAGGAAGTTGATCAAAAATTAGAGTAGTCGCGTGAAAAAGAAAAAATCCTGATTCGAGTCTTGGTCCAGTTTGGGCTCAACTCAAAAGCTCAATTTGTTTACGAATTCTATATATATATATATATTTAATATATTAATAAAGGTATAAATTTCGACAACAAAAAAGAAATAAAAAAAAAATTGAATTTAGTTTTTGTGTTATCTTAAAAAATTGTTTATAGGCCACGAACGCTTCAGGAAGCTGAATGGTATTGGGGAGATATAACGAGAGATGAAGTAAATGAAAAAATGATTGATTCGCCCGATGGCACTTTCCTAGTTCGCAATGCGTCTTCCAAAGGAGGTGAATATACTCTGACGTTACGTAAAGGTGGTACAAATAAGCTTATCAAAATTTGTCATCGAAATGGAAATTATGGCTTTTCCGAACCGTATAATTTTCATTCGGTTATCGAGTTGGTGGATTACTACAGGAATTGTTCTTTGGCTCAATATAATTCTACTTTGGATATCAAGTTACTATATCCTGTATCACGTTTTCAACAAGTAAGTTATTTTAATTACAAATATATATAATTTATGATAAATTTAGATACTATAAATTTTTTTTTATTTAAATTAAAAATAGGACGACGAGATTGCAAGTACAACGGACATGGCAACGGTCAAACAAAAGTTTGCTGAACTGAGCAAAGAAATAGTTGATACGTGTCGACAATATCAAGATTGTTCCGAATTGTACAGTAAAACGGCTTACGAGGTTCAATTAAAAAGACAAGCTCTGGAAGCATTTTCAGAAGCGATTAAAATGTTTGAGGATCAAATGAAATTGCAGGAAAAGTTCCAAAAAGAAGCTCAGCCGCACGAGATATCGACGTAAGTTTTTTTAAATAAATAAATATGTATAAATCGGTCTGCGAAAAATATTGTAAACATAAAAAAGTGTATTTTTTATTTGTTACAAATTTTACAAATTTTATTAGTTTAGGAAAAATGATATCATGATATATTATCCATCTCTTTCGATAAAATAAACAAATTGTTTAAATAAAAATATTAACAATCGTTTCTTGTAATCACTTTTGATAGGCCTCATGTTTTTCATTACGTAATATACCGTTTTTCATGTAAGTATTATAATTATTACAGCCTAACCGAAAATGCAGAGCTGTTGAAACGCAGATTGAAATCTTTAGAAGACAGTAAAGAACAATTAGATGATAGTTTAAAGCAGCGAATCGCTTATAATAGAACTCTTGAAAGAGAAATGCATAAGTTAAAGCCGGAAATTATTCAACTAGTGAGGCAAAGGGACAAACATTTCACGTACGTTGATGATTTTCATTTATTCTCGCCATAACAATTCATTTCACAATCAGATTGTATTAAGTTTGCATCTTATTTTCTTATTTCCGCTAGATGGCTGAAGAAAAATGGCATGACGGCAAACAAAATCAATCAGTTAGTGCTAAATCATTCACTTACAAATCCATTAGTCGGCGATTTAGTATACGGAGATCTTCAAGAAGTTGATTTAGAAGTACATACAGAGGAGAAGACTTGGCTCTTTTTGGAAGGATCACGTTCCGATGCTGATCATATTCTTGCTGGTCGGCCGGATGGCACGTTCCTTGTACGAAGATCAAGAACTGGCCAATATGCTTTGTCGATTATGTAAGTTATTTCATTTTAACAAAGAAACTTGTAAAAAGGACTTTGATTCAACGAAGGATATTCTTACTATTCGCATTTCTATTAAATTTGTAGGTGCAACGGTACTGTAAATCACTGTATCATATATGCAACTGAACGAGGTTACGGTTTTGCTGAACCCTACAATATTCATGAGAGCTTGAAACATCTAGTTCTACATTATGCTCAAAATTCTCTCGAGGAGCATAACGAAAGTCTTAGCACGACATTGGCTTATCCGGCTTTTGCACCATCCACGGCTCTGGCACAGCTACAGACTCAACAAATGCAACTTCAAATGCATATGCCCACGCAAAATCAAATACAGTTTAAACGACCTCTCGAAAACCAACCCCAATTTACACGAAGTTTGGAAAATCAACATTTTATAAGTCATACGTAATATTTATATGTTTATCAATCTGGTCAAAATTGTTTGATAACTTCAGATACTTGTGCGTGACTTTACGCAAGAATCGGTCACGTAAAAGGAATGAACGAAAAAAAGAAAACGTACTTTATGAATTTAAATTCATATGTATATGCGATAGAAGATAAATACGAGGAGAACTTGTAATAACGTTGCACCTTCTGAGGGAAGGATTATAAAAAGGATTATTTTTCTTTTTACCAGAATATTTCAAAATGTGAAGAATTATGCTGATAACTCTAAGGCATAGCGATAGCGATAATAATTATCGGAGGTCCTAGATATAGAAGTACCTGTAGTGAAAGCAGTAATAGTAGGTAGTAGTAAGAGCAGACAACAAATTTTGGCAGCAGTATGTCTTTTTATTATTTTTTGCTGCCTATTAAAGCTCCTCCTATAAAAAACTGCACTAAATATTGACAATTATTCTATTTTACATATGGGTGTATAAAAGTTACACCAGTGTTTCCTTTTTTCTGTTATTTGTTGGAGATTTATATCTTTGTTTTAAATGATTGTTTATTTTGATTTTACTGAAATTAATTCATATCTAATTATGAATGAATTTGGCAAAATTTAACCGGGAGGAGCATTAATAATTATATTTCAGATTAATCGACCAACGATTCACTTTTAATATTGCTTTTGTGTACTTTTCTTACGGATTGATGATAGACATTGTGTCGGATACCAAAATACATTTCGCTGATTCACAAGTCTTTATAAAATCTTTGTCACATCTTAAAATCTAATTTTTCAATCGAAAACGTAATTACGACCGGGAGAATATTTGTAGTTTAACAACTAAATCACTCTTCGCTTAATTAGATCACAAAGTCCCGTTGATAATCAGGGTAGATGTATTTCTTGTAAATTTAAATATTAATGTAGTTATTATAGCGAAGATTAAGGGTGTCCGAAAACTTTTAAAAAAATATATATGTTTTCGCGTACGGTTTTATTTTAAATATATTTTTTCTTTCTTTTTTTTCAATTACTTTTTAAACTTTGTTGAGTGATTTAGATTGTATCGGTGGTTAAAACTTCTGTTGCACCGGATCTTATGAACGATATCATAGATTATATTTTCAAAATCATCAATTTAAAAGTCGATCTTCGGGTCTCGGAAATTTCCAGAGTTTGTATAGTTGTAGTTTAATTCCGAGAAATTAAGGAGAGATTATTCGTGATATAATGATACGAACACTTTAATATCGCGAAATATAGTTTTTAGCGCTTAGCCACCGATTTAAAAAAATATATATGTATATATAAGTATATATATATATATACTCGTTATATTTCGGTGCTTGTTACAACGAAATTTCTTCAGAGGTGCAAGAAGTTTTTTATATAATGTATAGATTATAAGTATTGTGCCAGACCCGCATGGGTTATGTACGATTTTAAACAAGAAAATAATATTGTCTGTGATTTCGGATCAGTGAGAAAGAAAGAGAGAAAGAGAGGGAGAGAGAGGGAAAGAGATAATATCTGGTTTATCATTTTATTCAATGTTATTCTTTAATTTTCGATTTTATCTTCTTTTTTTTTTTATATTTGTTTTCTTATCGTTGTAAAGTTTACCTATTACTAAATATTTTAAGGGAACTCAATCTCGTCATTTAGCTTTCTCGTTTATAATACGCAGTTAAAAAAAATTGTTAACAAAATTTTAAGTAACCCATTGGCATTTGAAGATCGAATATTTGTCAGGTTTTCCGCTTTTTTCAAATTAAGCTTCGGTAACACTAGTGACGTTTTTATTTATGGTATTTTTTCATGTAATCATGAATTTTTGTTCTTACCATTTTTACTCGGAAAGCATAACTCGATCGCGTGTTTAAAGGGAGAAATATAATCAACAAAAAATAATTGAAAAAAGATCCTAACGTCGTCGTTTAGTGCGACTCATAATTAAGATATGGGAGTGTGCCTTGAGAAATCTTGCATTTACGGAGCGGTCAGTAAATGTAAGAGTGTATCGAGGTTATCTACCATATTTGTCATATCAAATGCTATAAACGAATGATCAAGTATGCTCGCGAGTATGAATTCCGTAAATGATACGATCGAGTGACCGTCTTATAATACGTATGTACATCTCTCAACATACGTTGTAAATGATAGAAATTGTAATGTGAGCAACGTTATAATAAATTATTGTCATCATTTATTTTCAACTTGAACGCTCAAAAACATAGTTATCATTCCGATCTCTAAGTACAAAAAGAGGCGAAAGGTGCTGACACGTTTTCTTTCTTTTTCTTTCTTAGTATCTTTCGTAATATGTTTTTTTTTTGTTTTCTTATATACGAAAGGATAACTAAAAGGGATGGTAAGGAAGAAGAAAAAGAAGAAAAAGAAGAGGAGGAAGAAGAAGCAGCAGCGATAGAATGAAAAAGAAAGAGAGAGAGAAAGAGAAGGTGGACACGTAGTATTTGCAAAATGAAAGGCCCGTTCTTCATCTTTAAGGCTTTGAATAACTTAGACGTTAGGTAGATTAGGTCTTTTTTATACGAAAATAAAAGGGGGAAAAAAGAAACAGGGAATACGAATTGTGATGCCTCGATAGGCTTGTATTTCGTGATCGTCCAGTTGCGTGCCAGTTCTGAACTCGATCGTTTGTTGCCGTGTCGTTGGATCGTTTGTTTGGTTGGACGTAGGATATTAAAAAAAACTTGTGCTATTCGCACGTATTACCAGCGTCGATCGGTTTGCCTTTTCTCTAGACGAAAAAGGGCGCCCCTACCACCTTTTTTCATGTATTTTGCAATCATATTCGAGAGTTCGTTCTTTTTTTCGTGGGGAAAATTTAGAAGAAAAAAAATTACTCGATTTTTACGATTCATTCTGCGGTCAGTCAATTATTTAGTTTTACATCATTATCATGCGTACCATATTGGTAGATAGTAGGTTTTATAACGCGATATAGTAATAACTAAAAGAAATAATATATTTTTCACACGTAATTAATTTAATTGAATTTGAAGGATTGATTATGAAGAAATGTCTTTAGCAACGTTGTTTCGCACTTATTTCTTTTTATAATTCGACATCCGGTCGAATAATAATTTCTTCTTTTGTATGCTTGTCTTCATTCACTTTTTAAAATCAGTGTTTGTTCTCGAAAAGATGGGGAGAAAAACCATGTTATTACAACGTTCGGTTTGCGTGACATAAGGGATGAATAGAAAGTGAAGTGTAATGGACGGTGAGAGAGAGAAAGATAGAAAAAGGGAAAACGATACAAAAAGCCATACATTCATATACATATGTGTATATATGTATATCCACATAAAAATATGGATATATTTTTACTTACTTTCAAGGCAAACCTTTAATTAATTATTTATAATATATAAATGCGTATATTTCTTCTATTTTCGTCAAACTCATGCATGTCGATCGAATGTAATAATATTTTGCACGCGAAAATTGAACGAATTTGACTTTTAACATTTTTAATTTCATTTGTCGTTTGATCGGTATAATCAAATATTCATTACCAAAAAAAAAAAAAACTGAAATCAGAAGTAAACAAAAATGTGTAAATATAGAAGTTATAATTGTTTCCAATTTTCATGAATTGTCATCTGCGAAAAAAAATCTTCTCAATATTTTCTGTAAGTTTAATTATACAAAAAGAAAGAATTAGAAATGATGAGAAAAAAAGATAAGGAGATTGAATTTGACGGATGTGCGAAAGTTGAACGATGTGTCTGAACGGAAAATCTTTATTCTCTATATAATAATATCGAGAATATCAAATGTATCGAGTGCGTGTGTCTAATGTGCGTGTATGTGTGTCTAATCGTCGACGTACATAAATGTGAATCATATATTAACAATTTTTTTCTAGTGATCATACAAAAGATGGAAAAAGATCGAAATGCAAAGATGAACAGATGATAAAATTATGAATAAAGATAAAAAAACTCAGAAAAAAAAGAGAGAAAGAATATGTTAGATATATAGATCATTTCTCTGATCTTTGTCCGTGACACTAGGATCTATTAAAAAAAAAAAAATAATAATAATTTTCTTTTCTAAAAGCCATAACAAAATCATATGGCTCTAGTTTAAAACTATATATATAATTTTTAAAAATAGAAATTATACACGGCGAAACGAATTGCTTTTCGTGTTTTTACACTTTTACTGATTTTTATTATTATGCTTTCTCAAGTCCATCTTACATAAAAATAAAAAAAATCATCATTATCATCATTAATGTGTTAGATTAGACTGATCGATTTATCTTGGAGTATTTAATCAAAACTTTCTCTAAACATATAAACTAACAGAGCTCTTGGGAAATAGATTTTGAAAAATTGGACTAAACTAATTTGAAATACAGCAATGATTTAGTTTTTCTTCTTTTCTTTTGTTAGCTCGGTCATTACGGTTATATGTGTATGTAAAAGATATCGTTTTCGGTGCTTTGTTTTTATTAAAAATTGATGATAATAATAATAATAATAATAATAGTAATAATAATAGTAATAATAATAATAATAATAATAATAATAATAATAATAATAATAATATTATATAATAATAATTATAATTNAATAGTAATAATAATAGTAATAATAATAATAATAATAATAATAATAATAATAATAATAATAATATTATATAATAATAATTATAATTATAATATTATAATTACATATATATCCGAGAGAGCCTGAATATATTATTCCGTTTGTACAAAAGAGAAAAGAAAATGAAAGAAAAAGAATAACTTTAAAGAGGAGACGAATAAAGAATGTCACTGGGGATTGTTTTATAACGGCAGGACCGATTTGAATGATCTTTTTACAAAGTTACGAAATTTGTGAGCGAGATGTTTAATATTTCGTTTGTTAAATAAACGAAACACGTCCATGCATCTCTGGACAATTCACGAAATTATTTTTGTAGGATTTAACTAAAATCTTGCGAAAGAATTCGCTTCTTTCGTTTGAAGAAGAAATGTCAATAAGTTTTTGTGGTTTAAAATGAAGTACTTTTTTGATGAAGAAATTGGGGAAAAGTAAAAAAAAAAAAAAAAAAATAAGAAAAAAAATAAAAATAAAAATAAAAATGAAAATAAATAAATAAAAGAAAAAATAGTCGAGAAAAAAGATATTTAACGTGCACATTCAATTATAGAAAAGCTCGGAAAAACTAAATTGTGGTTTAAATTTAATATATGGATAAAAAAAGGATTCGATTTGTTAATGCGCAGTCTATAACCATTGAATATGTGATCTCTGAAAATTAATGCGGAGTTATATAAAAGAGCGTATGTGTGTGTGTACTTGAGTCTATTGTGTTTGTATGTTTGTATGTATAAGTATACGTGTAACGAATAATCGTTGCCTTAGCTTTTTGTACAATTTGAACCAGATTGAATAAATGACAAGTGAGAAATAAAAAAGGAGAGAAAGAGAGAGAGAGAGAGAGAGAGCGATGGAGAGAAATTGTGTACGATATAAGATGTTTATGATATTAATCCAATCTGTTTATGATATTAACCAATCGATGTTGGTATCTGTTAAGATAAATGGTGATAATAAAATGATAAAAGTAGTAAGATATTCTCATTAAGTTCACTTCAAGAGAGAAAGAGAATAAGATAAAGGTAGAGATAGAGAAACGAGGGAGGGGGAGTCTTGCAGCAAGAATTGTGCGACAAGTTGATAATCAAATTGTATGAATATTGATATTGTTACAACGTTTATGATAATAATATTGTTAGTATTAATGACAATGATGATAATAATAATAATGACGAAGATAACAATTTTAATTCGTAAACTTTTACGAATAGATATTGCCGTCGTAAAGTGGAAAAAAAGTGCAAGAAAACAAAAACAAATTACAATGTCGATTGTTTCTTTTTAGAGAAGGAGATTATTATCCAACCCGACTCATTATATTTAAAATACGTTTTTCTCAATGACGATGAATTACGTTTTGATTTAATAAACGATCACCACGAAAAACGTGAATCAAAATTGTTTAATTATAATACTAATTGATCAGATATACAATATATCTACGAATGAAAACCTATTCGTTTATTTTCCTTGTCAATTCCTTTAAAGGAAATACGACATTCGCCTTTATCTATTTGTATATATATATACGTAAAAATTTAAACTACTGTCCGTCATGATCGATAGCATTAAAATGAAATCTTTTCAGTGGCTTCAGAGGCAGAACTCAGGTTCGATGATTTCAATTGAAATGAACAATATCTTTATTAAGAACTTTTTAAAGTAAGTTAGTTCTACGCGTACGATTAATTGTCTCTGATAGTACATTTCAATATAAAGAAATAACAATAAAATAAAACAGATTGATTTAGAATATATTA